TCAAAACTTTAAAAATCTTACCATAAATGAATAAAATCTGATTTGTAATGATGAAATTATAGTTCAGTAAGTGTCAACATAGTTGGGATGTACTTTAACTATAAGTTTATAAATAGTTCAAAATTATTTAATTTGTCAAGTTATGCAAAATATTGTTCGAACAATTGTAAGTTTTTATGTTATTTAGCTATTGATGTAAAATTTATCGAAAAATAAATCAAGGTAAAATTTATTTTTATGTAACTTTTATCGATTTTTACTATAATTATTTTTACCGTTTATTTTTGAAAAAAAAAAGTGCTAGCGGGCCGACCCGGCCCATGCAGGCCTGCTGTCCGAGTCGGGTCAACCGTTCCCTCACCCGGTCCGGTCCTGATCGGCCCTGAAAGCCCGCATGGGCCAATCTAAAATTCAAAATATAAAGATGTTACTTGGAACTGAATATGAAATGCACATGACTCGGTCAAGTTAGCTTTGACCAAGTTAACCCAGTCGGTTTACCAATTTTCAAAATTACCTTTTAAAATATTGGGAGTCCAAGGATAATTGGACCTCTAAGTAAAATAATTAGTTCCTCACCATTGGAGTTGTAGAGTATTTCAATATTTTTTATGTGCAATAAATTATATGTATCCAATGAATCATATGTATGTTTAGTCAAACATTTTACTTTATATTATAAACCTAAATAATTAGTGAAAAATAATTTTAAAAAATATATAATTTTGCCTAAAAAAATTTATACTTCAATTTTTTTTTATATAAATTTTTATACGAAGACCCATCGATTCAACCAGTAACTCGAGACTCAGTACCTTGTTCAAGTCGATGTCCGAGTCTTGTCTAACAACTATGCTCAAGAGTTCGGGGATAATAAATTCATTAGTTCTTAAGATTAATGAAAATTCAGAAGATTTTTTAATTTTTTTTAAATTTCAGATTTGATACCTCTACAATCTACAACTTTTTAACTTTTATAAAGGAACAATAATACATAGAACTTGATAATCTAATTAAAACCAACTCCTAATCATACTAACCACCTTAATGCATAAAATAAACATAATTCTAAATCCCTTTAAATCAGAAGTAATTAATTAAACTAATTGCTAGTCAAATTATACAAAAAATAGTTATTTTAAATGTTCAGATTGAGTTGATTGGCATCACACTTGTGGATGAGAATCTTGAAGCCTGAGTTATTTAGCTCTTGTTTGAGTCATATTAAAATTTTCATTTTCATTATTCTACTCATTTTCAACCACACGTTCTCCATCAACCTACTATTCCATAATACATTTTTTCAAAATAATGTGATTTATTTTTGAAAAAAAAAAAGTGCTAGCGGGCCGACGGGCTGACCCGGCCCATACGGGCCTACGGTCTGAGCAGCGGTCCGGCACGAGTCAGTCGTTCCCTCACCCGGTCCGGTCCGGACCGGCCTGAAAAGCCCACACGAGCCAGTCTATTTTTACCCCGGGCCGTTACCAGGCTTTTCCACCTGCCAGCCCGGCCCGGCCCGGCCCGACCATTTTTACACCTCTACATAGACTCCGCAAATTTCAACATTGATACCATGTTAAGATCTCTCTGAAATTCAAAATATAAAGATGTTGCTTGAAACTGAATATGAAATGCACATGACTCGGTCAAGTCAGCTTTGACCGAGTTAACCCAGTCGGTTTACCAATTTTCAAAATTGCCTTTTAAAATATTGGGAGTCCAAGGATCATTGGACCTCTAAGTAAAATAATTAGTTTCTTACCATTGGAATTGTTGAGTATTTCAATATTTTTTTTATGTGCAATAAATTATATGTATCCAATGAATCATATGTATGTTTTCTAAAAATATTTTTATAAAAACTTTAGTCAAACATTTTACTTTATATTATAAACCTAAATAATTAGTGAAAAATAATTTTAAAAAAATATATAATTTTGCCTAAAAAAATTTATACTTCAATTTTTTTATATAGATTTTTATGTAATGACCCACCGATTCAACTAGTAACTCGAGACTCAGTACCTTGTTCAAGTCGATGTCCGAGTCTTGTCTAGTAACTATGCTCAAGAGTTTGGGGATAATAAATTCATTAGTTCTTAAGATTAATGAAAATTCAGAAGATTTTTTAATTTTTTTTAAATTTCAGATTTGATACCTCTACAATCAACAACTTTTTAACTTTTATAAAGGAACAATAATACATAGAACTTGATAATCTAATTAAAACCAACTCCTAATCATATTAACCCACCTTAATGCATAAAATAAACATAATTCTAAATCCCTTTAAATCAGAAGTAATTAATTAAACTAATTGCTAGTCAAATTATACGAAAAATAGTTATTTTAAATGTTCAGATTGAGTTGATTGGCATCACACTTGTGGATGAGAATCTTGAAGCCTGAGTTATTTAGCCCTTGTTTGAGTCACATTAAAATTTTCATTTTCATTATTCTACTCATTTTCAACCACACGTTCTCCAACAACCTACTATTCCAAAATACATTTTTCCAAAATAATGTGGCTCAAACACACCATAACTTAAACCACTGTAAGCAAGTTTATATTTGTTCATTGAAATCCCGTGCATGGAAGCAAAGGTGATATCAATGCAATTTTTTCAAAATAATGTGGCTCGAACACACTCGAAATATTTTCAAGGGTAATTTGTGCACGCCATCCCCAACCTTTGGGACGGGTAGCAAAATCCTTTTAGTTTTTGGTGTGTTAAACCCCTCAAGCTTTCGTTTTAGTTGCAACTTTGTCCCAACTCATATTTTACACTATAAATAATAATTTCACATTTTAATTTTTCTCCTATCAATATTAACTAAACAATCTAAAGTTCTAAACTAATCATTATACTACATGTTAGCAAAACGGTCATAATATCATGTTTTGTTATTATTATTATTACTATCGTCATGCTCATTATATCTTTTTCTTCAATAATTATTTTCATTATCGTCATTGTCAATTTTATAAATAAATTGCCGCCAACCGACCATGTATTTCTTTAATATATATAATTCCTAATAAAGACTTAAATCAAGGTCAGTGGAGCTCATTTTGTTCAATAATCAAGCTTATCTCCACTAATGTTTTTGTTCATTAATTATTTGTATTTCCATCACTTTCAACTAATCATACATAATTTATGTTGTATTATATATATTAATTAAGGCCGGTTGGTCGGTTCCAAAGAATATTCTTAATCAACTACAAGTAGGCCCATTCGTCACTAAAACCTAATTCTACTGCCCATTATATAAGTCATGCATGTCTTGAAATACGTACTCAAAGCAAATTTTGTGACATTAATTTGGTTCCTTAGCTTATAGCTTATTTGGCCTCGCAAGTGACCAAAAATGGTGAGGATTAATTTGGGTAGTATTGGCGACTCTTTTTCAGTTCCGTCGCTAAAGGCTTACATTGCCGAGTTCATTGCCACCCTTCTCTTTGTTTTTGCTGGTGTTGGTTCTGCTATAGCTTACAGTAAGTCATCTTTTCTGTGTTGCTTTAGTGGCACGCGCGCACATAATCCCATCTATAATTATATAGCGATCATAAGTCCGGATAAATGATGAGGGTCGAGGTAGATTAATGATCAAAATAATTTTTTTTAGGCTTAGGTGTACTAATATATATAGTATGATTGATGTTTGCAGACAAGCTCACGTCTGATGCAGATCTCGACCCACCCGGTTTGGTGGCAGTAGCAGTGGCTCACGCATTTGCATTGTTCGTGGGCGTTTCCATGGCGGCCAATGTCTCCGGTGGTCATCTGAATCCGGCTGTCACGCTTGGATTGGCCATCGGAGGCAACATCACCATCATAACTGGCCTTTTCTATTGGATAGCACAATTGCTTGGTTCCATTGTTGCATGCCTTCTCCTCAAATTTGTCACCAATGGCTTGGTAAGTTATACCAAAATTAAAATTAAACTTAATTTGACAGTAAAGCGCTAAAATTGCTCATCTTGAGACCTTTAGAGCCTTTCGCGAGAAGAAAAATACTCCTCTTTTGGATATGTGTAAGCTTACTTTTAATTATTATTATCTGATTACTATAAGATAAAAAACAGCTTGCCTATTCTGGAGACGGGCATTTTTGTGGGCTAGGCCCAAACCATACTAATATTTGATGTTTGGCAGGCCATTCCCACTCATGGAGTTGCTTCTGGAATGAATGCTTTGGAGGGTGTTGTAATGGAGATTGTCATCACTTTTGCTTTGGTCTACACAGTCTATGCCACTGCTGTAGACCCCAAAAAGGGCTCATTGGGCATAATTGCACCCATTGCCATTGGGTTCATTGTTGGTGCAAACATTTTAGCTGCTGGCCCATTTAGTGGTGGATCGATGAACCCGGCCCGATCATTTGGGCCAGCCGTTGTCGCAGTCGACTTCTCTCAGAACTGGATCTATTGGGTTGGCCCACTTATCGGTGGAGGATTGGCTGGCCTGGTATATGGTGATGTTTTTATTGGATCATATGCTCCACTCCCACCCCAAGAAGAATATCCATAAGAATTTTTATTGTTAACAAGTAGTTGTGCTTGTGTAATTCTACCTTTGCTTATGAGCTGTTTGTATAGTTTGATCAGGAAGGGAAGAGCTTGTATTTTCAGCTTCAAGTAAGAAATGTAATAAATTGTATTTTTATTCAAGTTTAGTTACATCTAAGCTCAAAGAAAGATTGATCACATGGATTTAAAAGATCCCTAACAGAGTCATATAGAACAAAAACAATTACATCAAAAGTTGAAATTAAGTTTTGATCAATTTCAAATAATTGGAGCTATCTCATTCGGTAAAAAAAAAAACAACTTAATTAGTTTTGAACAATGACCTAAAGCTCATGCGTAGATACGATTTTGATCGATTCATTGTGCATAATTCAAGAAGGGTCTGGAGCCGTTTAAGCTCCTATTTGATGGTCATTATTTGGTCAAAATAATGTTTTAAATAATGATTTTTAGGAGAATGTGGTAAAAAATAGAAAAAAATTAAAGTTTACGTGTAAAATATTTTATTATATGAATGTGTAATTGAAAATGAGAACGTAAAAAAAAAAAGTTCTCAAATAATTATTGTCAAAAGGTACTAAACAGGAAATCTATATCTCCAAAGGATAGTCCCCAAAGACATCGCAGACGAGCATATGATGTCGGTTTATCATTGCTATCGTGTATGTCATGTGCAAATTTAAATCGTAAATTTGTTCGACTTTAGTAATTAAAAAGCATCCACATATTAAGGATGGTATTATGGTTATATGATACTTCCTGAACATTGGGAAGACACATAGCTCGACCCCCCTTGCAACATATGACAGCTTGTAGAAGACAAAATCCTCACATTTATAATATCAGAATATATAGGAGAATGATGATGTTGTAGCACTGTGGGTAATAACTCTTGATACCTCATGGACTCATGAGACATTAGGAGTATCAACGAGTCGAGACGAAACTTGAAACTTGACCTCGACTCAAGTAAAAATAGTTCGGACTTTTTTTTTTTTTACCCGAGTCGAGCCG